ATGAAAATAAATATTTCGAATCTTTTATTCCTATTTTTCCTCTCTAATTTACTGTCTCTAAAAAAGTTTTTTTTCAAAACATTATTACCCTTCCTATGGAGCTCAGAAAAATCAGTTTTTTCAAAACAAAAACCGCCAATAGCAGGTGCTGAACGGCTTTCACGAGTAACATTTCAACAATCGTTGCAAGAGCAATCAATTTTTACTGCGAGTTCTATCCTCGGGGAGAAATATCGGAAATACAGTGTCTCAAAATATTCAGTCACGAAACCATTCGAGATATTCCTCAACGAGCCTATCGAAACACACCTACAATTTCTTGTCTGTTCCTCCATAATTTCCAGGTAATCCATATTTCAGTTCCCCAAAAACAGAAATTGGTAGTAATAGCAAAGAATAATTAATGATACATACTAGAGGAGGAGCCCATACCATCCGAAACAATGAATTATACTTCAACATTTCGCATTTCCTCACTGCAGCAATTTCCGCGTCTTGAAACCCGCATTTCAGACAAATTATGATATTCAATATTGAAGGAGTAAGGAACAATCGATCGATGTAGATATTTAGCAGTTGTCCAGTATTCTGTCGCTCATACGCAATCCAACTGTCAGGATATTCTCATCTACAACTGAAGAATGAAGATCTCAATAAATGAATTAAACACTGAAGCATTGAGAGCGTGCTTCAAGAAGTGCCTTGGCAGCGAAATACTTCTGCTACAAATGATGGGATTGAAGTCAATGGGAACTATCTTCACGGATGAAAAGCCAATGTGGTCTTATCTGGAAGGCATTCCTTTCTTCATTGCACTACCGGGATTATGTTTTGGCCTGAGCTGTGAAATTCCCATGATAATTCTCCTTTCAAAACTCGATTTCGTTCTATCCATCGAAGTAGCTGCTGCGTTTCTCACGTCTTCTCTAACTATTTTTAAGGTACGTCCATCTTATTATTGCACTTGGAAAAAGAAATGTCAATCAAAATTAAACTGGTATTCGTTAGCAAGCATTGGATTCTTCAATCGAAAAAAAAAAATCTTTCCACAAAATTGCCAATTAACGACACTAAACTTCTATTTCTTCCTCAAAAATTCGATTCGCAAACGATTATACATTTGAATCAATTCGTGAGTATTAAAATCAAGGAACTGGAGGTTTAATTACCGGAAGACATTCCGACTATAAAATTTGTAAGACACATGATGTCAGAT